ACGCCTCTCCGTCAACGCCTTCTCCCGTCAACGCTTCTCCGTCAGCGCAGTCTGCGTCAACGCTTCTCCGTCAGCGCTGGTCCGTCAACACCTCTCCGTCAACGCCTCTCCGTCACCCCGTCTCCGTCACACCCCGTCTCCGTGAACGCCGTCTGCTGTCAACGCCGTCTCCGGGAACGCTGCCGGAAGGCGTGATAATTACACAAACGACTTCTGCCTTCCGCGGTCGTGCCGACCGTGTTAGTATGAGGCCGCTTTCGTATTGTGCGTGTCGTATTGGTGCTTTCTCCCATCGGGCCTTACCTGTCGGTTGCTGTGGTGATGGTGTTGCCGGTTTGGTGGCGGCTTGTCCGTGTTTGCCATCATTCTCTGCAATAAAGGAACAAATAGGAATTAGAAGTGGCAGTATGTACTGTTTGTATTCGTGGAAGGATACAGGAATGAACGTTGTTCACATAGCTGCATGTTGTTCCCCTTTGCACTTTCACTTTTACTTCGACACTGTCTGTAGTTGTGTTCTGTGTACTTATCCATCCGGCGTCGTTCTAATTTGTTTCCTTGTGCCCCAAGTGCTCTGCCTTACCGGACTTCCCCGTCGTGGCCTGGTGCCGTTTTTGTACGTCCTGGTCTACCTGTTTTCTGATTTCCGTAAGTAGTTCCTTCATTCGGTCCTTCAATCCTGCCACTATCGCAGTAATTTCTGAGTGCTCCTTATGCTGCATCTCCTCTTTATTCAAGAAATCCGCTATTTTCCATTCCGCCTTCCATGGTGTCTCACACGTGTTAGTTCCCTTCACTTCTTTAATCCGTTGTTGTAGTGTACTATTTTGCCCTAACCAGGTTTTGACTTGTTCATTTAACTTAAGTTCCCTTATTTTCAAATCCAAAGATATGTTTCTACCACATTTGCTCTGCTGTATTAAACCTTCCCCCCATCCGCCTTCCTCCCCTAAATTGTCCATTGTTTTCCATGCATAAAATGTACCCCACGTACTTTTGCACACGGATTCGTTTAATACTGCGCTAAACATATGTACTATTGCACATCGTAAATGCTCCGTGATGCTTGCACTGGTGTCATCCTCCTTTTCTCTAATTCGTGCTGCAGTAGTCCCCCAATTCATGAAAAATAAGGCCGCTACCATAAGTACGCATACAATTTTATCCCCCACCTTGGAGGGTACATACTTCGGACCGTGTGTAGGGTAACTGGGGTGGTCCCATCCTTTGTTATCACAGTTCGCTGCATACGATATTATGTCCGCAGTTTCCATGTATTGCACAAATTCCTGCATTACATCCTTCGTCTTGTTCCACACCATTTCCTACAATGTAAGAGAAACACAGGAAATATGTACATGCGCATGTGTACTTGAATGCTTTGTGCCCCGCTGAGCTGCATGCGCTCTTATACCAATAAAACCCTAGCACGGAACTGCCCGTGCGTCAGGTCTGTTACAGTACGTGCCTACCTCATACTTGTGCTGATCATAAGTGCCCGCTCGGACTAACCAATCCGCCAATGCGTGCGCCAAAGCTGCCTTGGCCATGTTACTACTATTCACTGAAATATACGGTACCCGTTATAAATATCTATACAGTACTATTATGCGTATTCTTGTTATAGTGCATTAATGCCCGCGTGCTTCCACTTTTAGTCTCTAATACTGCTCCTGTCGGTCTTCACTGCTGCGCAAGTAGCAATCAAATGCTGCATAAAAATAGAAAAAATTCAGCACATAAAGATAGAAGGAAGAATGTACAAAAACAGAAAATGTCCACCCGACTTTGTAGATATAGAATACAGGGAAGAAACGCAAAAGAAAAAGAAAGACAAGGGAAAAAGAAAGGAACAAATAGGAAAGGAACAAATAGGAAAGGAACAACACCGTCATGAATAACACGCTTCGCCCCTTTCTACACCGGTCTCCACTAAACGCCTGTCACACACTGTCTCTGTGCGCGTACACAAAAAAACCGAAGTATAACAAAAACATCAATTCGTTCTTCTTCCGTCAACGCCTCTCCCGTCAACGCGTCTCCGTCACCCCGTCTCCGTGAACGCCTCTCACGTCAACGTGTCTCGCGTCAAGGCTTGTGCGTGCGGCGGCCGCCGTGTTGGGGCTGTCAAAGAAAGGGGGGAAAAAAGTACACTACACTACCTACTCCCTCACAACGCCATAACAAAGAGCCGCCTGCCGAATTCATATGAATGCACATGTTCTATATATATGTAACCTCTAGAACCCTGTGGCTATAGACATATTAAAAGAAGTGGACTACACAGAAAAAGAACAAAACA